GGTATATTGCCTTACAAGCCAGAAGAAACAGGCGGCAGACAGCGGGAGAAATCGCTAGACACACGACACAGGCGACTGGACTACCGATATCGCGTTTCACCGTGGCCAGAAGACTGCACGATGGTGGTCTGTTTGCACGACGCCCTGTACGGTGTACGACGCCCTGTACGGTACCTCTAACGCCTGCGCATCGGAGAAGGCGTTCTCTGTGGTGCCGGGAACACCGGAATTGGAGAGACAATGAATGGAGACGAGTACTCTTTACAGATGAGAGCAGATTCAGTCTGAGTAGCGATTCTCATCGCATACTTATCTGGAGAGAACGGGGAAGCCGCAATCATCCCTCGAACATCATTGAAAGGGACAGGTATGGAGGTGGCGGTGTTCTCGTTTGGGGAGGCATCATGCTTGGTAGTCGTACAGACCTTCACATCTCCGACGCAGGTTCAGTCAACGGGACCCGTTATTGTAACGAGATTCTTCTTCCATATGTGCGTCTTTTTAGAGGCGCTATGGGTCCGCAGTTCCTTTTCATGGACGACAATGCACCATGTCATCGCACAGTAGCTGCCAAACAGCTCTTAGAGAGTGAGGATATTGAACGTATGGATTGGCCGGCACGATCTCCGGATCTCAATCCCATCGAGCATGTATGGGATTTTCTAGGCAGACGCTTGGCAACTCGTACCTTACCACCAGTAACGATTCCGGAGCTTCGATTGGCGCTGCAAGACGAATGGGCAGCAATGCCTCAACAACTCATTGACACCCTCATTCTCAGCATGGGCAGACGCTGTGAAACCTGCCTAGCAGTCAGGGGAGATCATATCCCCTATTAAAGACCGGATGTTTCTTGCTGTACACCCATCACAAGGATGTTTCGGCCTTCAGTCGCATTGCGCTCCATGCTACTTTTTCAGTAAAGCTTCTTTTTATCTCTCTGATTTCTCTTTTAGTCTCTTTCTCTTTTAGTAGAGTAGTTTCTCTTTTAGTTGCTTACATTACTCATGTCCTTACATATTGGGGATCTTACGGTATTAAATGTGTTGATTTGGAAAGCTTTTGTACAAAGTTATATTGAAAAACCATCTCGTCCTTAATTTTTGCACACCAGTATATACTTCCAGTCATAAAAATGTTTTAAATGTCGCAAATAATTATGTTTTGGCATTTTTTAAAAATTTCAAGAAGTCAGTTTTGTAAAATTACGAAATCTAGCTTATTATACGTTCCTCCTGTCCATATACTTATGTTTAGAAAAATGTTGTACTCATTATAGAAAAATAAAACACGAAAAGTGTGGTTCCTGTACGACAGCAATTAATCAAAATATTTTATATTAAAATTCGAGATCTTATTCAGGGGCCGTACACAAAATGAAGAATGAAATGTTTGCATTTGTAAGTAACAAAAATAAAATATAGTTTAGAAAAAGTTTTCTGATGTTAAGAGATTAATTGAAAAGTATTTCTACACAACAAATAAAATATAGTTTAGAAACAACAAAAAAAATATAGTTTAGAAAAAGTTTTCTGATGTTAAGAGATTAATTGAAAACTAATTCTACACAGATTACTATGAAATATATTGATCAGGATATTTTTTCCCGAAATGGAGATCTTATTGAAAAATTCTTTAATTCGTGTACCACCTGCAGACTTCATTATCTGCATATAGCCAACGTGTATTTGCCTTAGTTAAGAATGAGAAGTATTTGTACTTTAGTTAATTCTTTTACGATTACTGGATTATGTTTCTAAAGTAATAAAACATCACGTGACTATTAATAACCAATTTTTAAACTTTCGGAGCTTATAAATTATTCGTGAAACTTTTTCGGCATAGTAAAGGTAACAAAATAATAAATCAATTACACTAGTAAATTGTAAAAGAATATTATAGAATTTAAGAGGAAATAACAACCTCGAATTATTCTAGTTTATTTATTAACCTGCTTCTCAATGAAAATTGGAAATGACGTCAAAAATCGAAAACTTTGAAATTAAATATCTCGGTAAATTATGTCATACGGAAGTCAGACTTTGGTGTTCTATTTTTGTATAACAATTATTATATTTTGTAAACCTAAGTACAGGGACTGAAGGAGCGTATAAAAATTAAATTTTTGTAATTAGAAAAATTCTATAAATTTAAAAATGCCAAAGAAAATTATTATTTGAGACATTTAAAACTCTTTCGTAACTGTAAGAATGTCGATGGTTGCAGAAGGCCGAGTAATGTCATTTGGAGATACGGCGTATATATGAGAATGTTAATGCATGCATAGAGGTGAATGCATAAATCTTTATATATATATATGTGATGTACCAGCTTTTGTCCCGAATAAATACATTGGTGAAGAATCATAGCCGTAGTTGAAGCTCAATGTATCAGACGATAAGTTTAAAAAACAGAATCCATTTATTATTCAGGAGAAATAGAAGTTACAAAAAAAAAAAAAAAAAAAAAAAAAAACAGATCTCCGGAGTAAATAAAAAAGAACTACTAATAACGTTTTGTATGAAGTTTACTGCATCGTTACATTAAAGAAAAATACCCCGATATTCCTTTGCGAGTCCTTTTATAGCCTCTGGAAAGCCGAAGCTTCCAAGAAATGACGTCAGCCTCGTCAGCCATTCCAGTTCGCTTTAAATATCTCCTGAACATTCTATAACTGTACGTGTAGAAAAAGCGGGAAAACAACTTGACTACGGGGCTGTGGATTTAATTCCACGTACTTTCAAATAACAGACCGTCGCCATTAAAAAAGAAAAGAACATACAGTTGGAATTTTAAGTGTATTCTTGACTATGGAATTTTATTATTACAAAATACATATAAAGATATATATATATATATGTGTGTGTGTGTGTGTGTATAGATTTCATTTAAAAAAGGAAAGGAAAAACAAACAATTAAATTGACTTTTCAGTAATTACATTGTAAAGACATTCTGTTATTTCGAAGTCGGAGAGATGAAAAATGAACAATGCCCTCGCCGGGACTCAAACCACGGACCTCTGGAATTCGCATCGAGCGTGCTGAACACTACACCTCGAAGTCATGCTAAGAAGGTGGGGGAAATACCTTATATACTTCCCCTTTTAAAGGGTGACTCTCGTTTTTTTTTAGGGGACCCAATCGCCAAATCCTGATGGTGAACAATCATGATTCACAACCTTTTAGTTCGGGTGCCACTGTAGAGTTATTACGTTATTTCGAAGTCGGAGAGATGAAAAATGAGCAATGCCCTCTCCGGGACTCGAACCACGGGCCTCTCGAATTCGCGTCGAGCGTGCTGACCACTACACCACGAAGGCATGCTAAGAAGGCGGGAGAAAATTCATTGTAACATGATAAATCATGAATTTTGATCAAAAGATGTCGAGATTAATTGCTAGTTCATTATCACTCCTATACTATTCGTAGACGTTACTCACAGATCGTCTTCTTCTGCTGCATGCAAACGAAAACTCAAATGCTACAGGTGTAAATATTGTATTTCTAGATAAACACACGCTGTTATAGAGAAGCCTGAAATTTGTTTTCAACGAAGGTTTCAAAAAGTGTATTCTACATGGAGGAAATTTTGTATCACAAACAACAGGTACAAGATTTTACTTAAATTCAATAAAATAATTCTTGCTTCTTAAATATCATAACTGACCATCAATGTTCACATTAAGCTTGGTGATTATTACTTTAGTAGTGATGGTGGCAAAGTTAGAACCCGACGGTTTACTAATTCCGCATTATAGGTTGCTCCAAAGTGTGCTTCGGAAAGAAATTGATTCAATTTAAACCAGTGAAAATAGGTTGAATATTTTCAATTTCACCGGCTTATTGAGTTTTATAGTTTATATATTTTCCTAGTCTAACAAGAACTTACGTTTTTTTTTCTTATGAGATACAAACTATGTTAAATCGGTTCTTTTTTTTTTTTCAAGAAGGGATTTACCTAACTATACCATGTTAATTGGCAAAGATGTTTCCTGAAAATCTGCGATAAATGGTTCAACTTATATTTCAAACGTGAAGGAGACGAAATCTTCCTTATAAAATTCACGGAAATCTATTTCAAAGCACATTGATCAATTACTAAAGCCTATGATGTGCATGCTATTTATACTTGAGGAAATATTTGTCTTTTATAATTTTATACTTCTTTTTCTTTGTTTTATTTAGCTTTATTTTGTTGTTTCTTATTTTTGGAATTTTTATTTATCTATTTGTTTTGCATTTATTTCATGTTGTTTATATTTTGTGTTAGAAAGAGTTACACACCAATAAATCTTACGTAAAAAAGGAGGTTAATTCTAATCAATTTTAAGGGAAACAAAGAAATTCCATTAACAACAAGGGAAAGGTAGCTGTAAAGGAAAATATCATCACAAAATTTATGAGATGTATGACAAATATGAAGTCTTTTTCAGGCAATTAAAGTTTATTTCCAACGAACTGTTTCTTCAAATTTATTTTGAATCTAATTTGGTATTATTAAGTCTCCTTTCCCTTAGCTGTCAAAAATTGAGCTCATGAATTACTAAATCAAATCTATACATCGCTCTAACGTATTGATCTCGGCTAACAATACCCACACAATCATTAGTGTTTGGACGTAAACTGATATCGAAATCTCCTGTTTCCTATGTAAGGTAATAAGGTCCGAAACTGATGTCCTTAAAATTCTCTACCCCGCTACAGGTATAAAATTTATCATTTACGAGAACTAATGTTGCTTGCAATTAATATATATTTCTAAAAGCCCTTAATGCGCATCAAAAAGAAAATACGTCATTATCAAATAAATTTTTTCCGGACGAAAGATAACGTTTCAGAAAAGTAAAAATAAAATAAATATGAGGAAGCCTACATTAAACGTAGTAGGATATTAAATTATAAAGAAGTCTGCATATCTTGCAGAATTTGTTTTCAGATTTTTAATGAAAATAATATTTTCTTAATAACGTCGAGATAAAAAAATAACTTTTAATTTTCAGACTCAGATTCAAGGACTGACTGGCAACATATCATTCGATGAATTAGGATTTCGGACGAATTTTTCTATCGATGTTGTAGAAATGACTGTGAATAGCGAAATGGTTAAGGTAAGTATTTTTGTTTATAATATTCAAAGCAAAGTTTTTAATTTTTTGTTTTTAATAAGGACCGACAAGGCGTTCTGTTTAAGGAGACCTGCTTGAATGTAATTTGCAGTCGCTTAAAGGGTAAGAACCAAGTATTAAAAGATCCAAAAATAAGTAATTTTAAAGGAGCATAAAGTATGAAGTTTAATGTTAATTAAGCTATTCATATTACGTAAGAAAATCTTAGAATAAACATCAAATTTATTTTCAAAAAATTATATTCCCTAGTTTGGGTTTCTTCTATTTTCTCATTTTCTTTGGGTATATTAAAAATAAAATTATTAAATTATTAAATTATCAATATTATATGTTAAATATCATTTTCAGTTGCTGTTAATTTAATTTAAATTAAGATTCATAAAGTTAGGAGGCATGATAAAATACGCGAATCAAATAAACATCACTAAATAAACATTAACTTCAGCCGCTTAGAAATTCCTTTATTTGGTAAAAATAAAAAAACGGCGTTAATATTCCTCGTTATTTTTCCATTATGATGAATATTTGATGGTATGAATATAGCAGTAAATTAAAATATTGATAATGATATCTCAATTTAGAACTAATAGCAAATTAAGGTGATAGGAATTCTTAAAATAACAGGCTGTCTGGAAGATTGCTATGCCCGGAATAATTCAATACTTTTTAACACTTGAAATCAATTGTTACTACTTTCGTTAGGTTAAAAGTGAAAATTCCTGTCCTGGCAAAATAAGAAATTATTGCTATCGACTCGGAATAAGATCTCTCATTTATTTTTCTTAGTGTAAAACTGCATTGCTTCACAGCTTGTAGGGATTATTTAAGTTATTTAACAATTAATTTAATTTTATATTTTAAACAACCTTTTGAAATTTTGAAACAATCTTTGCTAACACTCTCCCTTTCAACCTACGCTTTCTTGCCAGAATGTAGATGAGTTAACGTGCGTATATTCAAATAAGGTAGAAAAAGGTTAGTATTTAAGGGAAGATTTTGGAAGGGGAATTTAGAGAGCGTATTCTGCCTGCCTGAAAGCCACGTTGCTATCTGCGTTGCTGTAGTGTTGTGTACTTCTAGACATTTAGCTTGTTTACGCCGACTTTACGAGTCAGAGCCTGTCTGCGCTTTAAGTAACCTGTGAAAAGCCATTCGGCTAACTTAATTCTGTTATAAATTACTTGTCACCTTTTGAGTTAGGCCAAAAGTGTTGGGTTTTGTAAGGACGAGTCGGTGCCATCTGTGAATAATATTCAGTGAATAAAGGGTTCTTTACGCACTTTCTCTGGACATTATCGTACTTAAGACAAACAGACAGTCAAAAAAAAGACTGTCTGTTATTCGTAAGGAGAATTTCCTGCACAGTGTATTAACGTCTAGTTCTTTTGTGCTGCCAATGAGCACCTGATGTTATGAGCTTAGCAAAGTGTATAAAATATTATATTAACTGTCAGGAATTGCAAGATATCTTAGTTCAAAAAACACTAATTCGAATCACACATAACATCAAGATACATGAACACTACAAATCAGGTTTCTAAACTGCAAAGTTTATTCAAGTCTAACACACATTCAACTGGCGGATGCCAGATCCAAGAACAAGAAGTATATATACATCATGAAAGATTTACGCCCACTTTGGCGATTAAAATATATTTCCACATAAAATTTCTTACAAATTGATCTTCTGCAGAACATTGAGCAACAACTGTTATTAACGTCACTTCCATTCGTCATACCCACTGATTGGCCGTTTAAGATTATATTAGGAGCATGATCTTGTTTAGCTAAAAGCTGTGGTATTTAAGTTTTACTAATGAAATATTATTTAATTTACATCTCTTCTTTCTGCGCCATTTCGCTAAGCGGTCCGCTCGTTCCAAAATTTATGCAGATTTGAGTGGCAAGTAGTTTTACTGTAAAGTTAGAAGACTTACTTATAGCTGTGTCTGAGAGTTCTGGCCTGCTAGTCTATCACTAATCTTCTCTTGTAGAGTCATTAAGAATGTTTGAAGTCAGGGGTCGTGAGAAATCAGCAGTGCCGTCGTTGGGATTGAAACTCTGGCTCTTTCGATGCTAGCCGGATGCGATTTTTTGTTACACCAACAAGGCACGTGATGAGAAGGTATAAAAACCTTATGAAGTTATAAATATATCCAGAAATATAACAAAAAACTTTTTTTTCAAAACAAGAGTTATACTTTCTTAGCTATTTTCTAAAACAGTTTCTCTACCTTTAATTAAAATGCCAGAATGAATACGTTTTCCTGTAAAATAATATTTAACCTCTTAAATTTTTAGTGCTCATCAAAGCTATGTTTTCAGAATTTGATACCTTCAAATTACTATACAAAGATTAAAGATTATTGCCAGATTACTTATGAGAAATAATTATTATACATGCTTAAGGGACAAGCGATGCAGATAAAAAATTGCATAGCTCTGTCTCTAACCATTTTTCTCTTTATTAACTAAGTGCAGAAGTATCCACGCGGCATTAATTTAGGGCAAAATAATATCATAGCAAGTTTTTTGGGGGCTTCTTTTTTATATATTTATTTATTTTTCATTGATCGTATGAAAAACTGATCGATGGATTTTATTTTGAGATTGATCAATAATAGCACGGAAAATCACTACAACTCGATATCGTAAGAAAACAAATCGCGCATGCTTGTATAATGTACGTTTTACCCGAATGTGGGGTATACCCCGTGTGCAATGATTATACAGATCGATTAGCGCGAAGTTGGTTCAATATGTAACTGGCGTGAATATTCAAGTATCGGTAGTTATATTTCAAGCCAGAAGACTACAAATCTTATCTGGTTTAGCAACCTCGTAACTTGACAACGAGAGGCAGAACACGCTCTGTCTTACAGTCTGAAAGCTAGCGTTAAATACTAGCGAACTAATTTGCTTTCTGACAGATAAACGGAAGGGAGAAGTGACAGTGAATATTCAAAACACAGAAGAACTGGTTAACTAACATAAAGAAACATTACAAATCTTGAAGATAAAAAAAACTTGCATAGAATTTTCAAATGATAGGGATTAAATGTTTTATACATAAAGTTCAAAATGTTTCGTGCATATTTACGTGTTTTTGAATTTTTTATTAGAAGCGGTAAGGAAACTGAAGCATTATTTTAAAAATTACTTTAAATACTACATTATCTAAAGCAGATTTTACTGTTTACACTATCAGAAAAACACAGACATACATGAAATACGTTTTTCTTACGGCTAAGCAGAGGAATTGAAAAAAAAAGTGCTTTCGCGAAATGATATTTGTTACTTTCTTATAATAAATTTTGGAAAATATCCACCAGCGGCCGATCGGTAACGTCACAAACAAGTTAAGGAGCATTGGACTAACGTACACTATACCATTTTTTCAGAGTCAAATAACGGACTAGGTACTCCAATATAAAATTAGTATTTTCTATATTTATGATGTTTGAAAGCTTATTGAATTCTACTGAATTACTATCATTAGAATAAAATGTGTGTGTGTGTGTGTGATTATGGCAAAGCCTCGAGGGCTATCTGCCTAAGGGGAGGGATGCCTTCGTGGAGGACTTTCTAAGTGAAACTGGCTCGTATACACGTTACACATGGGGAAAACCACGAAAACGCCCATGCAGCCAGCCCGTTCGCGGGATTCGAGCCTCGGACCGAACTACCATTGTTCAGCGACTTTACCGCTCGGCCGCTGGTGGGCCCATATTAGAATAAAATGAATCAATGTTTTATTTTTGTATGTAATTATGATGGTTTTGAATTATAAAATCATGAATATAAAAAAAATCAGAAATTCTGTTTGATGAAAATATACTGCTTTAAAAAATTTTTAATGGCAAACTCTTGCTAGAGTTTTTACACTGCAAACAAAAGTTTTTACATTTCAAGTTTTTTTTTTCACAGACTGTTTATACTTTTGAACGACGTATTCATACATTTCTATTTTTTAATATTCCAAAAAGAAAAGCACACAGGAAAACTTGTGTTATTAAATCTGAGATTAAAGTCTTAATTAAGTTTAATGATAAAGATTTGCCTCTGCCTAATGACAACATTAAGTATTACGGTTATTTTGGAAGATAAGAGATATGTTTCTATAATTATTTCCTGGTGGGCCGTTTCAGCAAAGCTCGATTTTGTGGAATTTAAATTCTAGACATTCATGTTTTTCTTACATATCATAGATATGCATGGACAAATATTTTTCAATCACAAAATTGTGGTTTGAAGTGTTTATTTACATGTACTATTACACGCATGTAATAGTAGACTCATATTTTTAATAAAACTGTCGGTTTTTGATCCTTTCATATATTTGAGATTTGAAATGTAGTAGTAGTAAAAAAAGTAGTCATTGATAAACTCCTGGTAACTGTCACAATAATATTTCTTTAAAAGAAACCTATATTCCAATAAAATCCATAATAGCAATATTATATTATAGCATTTGACTGATACTGAGCCGACATCTGCCGCATACCCTACGGTAACTGAGCTGGACACATCACACCGAGCGCGAAATGTCGGCCTCAGTTACCTTGCAAACCTCCAGGAACACCTTTCTCGACCGCAGTTTCCAACGGGACGTCGGAGGAACGAAAGAGAAGGGGGTGAAGAAAAGAGCACATCGAATACATTATGTAGATAAGAGTACAATGAGCTGGAAAGTAAATAAAAGAAGAAGTGAAATCCCATGTTTCCAGAGTTTCTGAAGTGTAAGAACACCTGCCACGACCGGGCAGCTTGATGGATGAAATGTTAATGAATAATTTCATTAATACACTGGATTCATACACTTTATAAAAGTAAAAATACTGATTCATATATGCTACTTCTCAAACGATAAGGGGGAAATACGGCATTATTTATTAGTTATAAGAAAGCTGAATTTAAAAGTTCAAGAAAAATTTCTACGTCTCTTCAAAGTCAACACTGTTTTCCAGCTTCAGTATGACACA